ATCATAGGGTTATCGAGGATGCTCTATCGATTGATGGGTGTATGTATGGGCTCCTACTCAGTTCCATACGGCGAATATACTGCTTAGGCATTTGGTCTCGAGGACCCAAGGGTACCCCCAATAATAGAACTTGAACATCCAAGGGTACCCTTCAAGAATAGGCCTTGAGGACGTAAGGGTATCTCCCATTAATAGGACTTGGGGGTCAAAGGGTCTCCCCTAATAATAGGACTTGAGGACCCAAGGGTACTCCCCATTAATAGGACTTGAGGACCTAAGGGTGTCTCCCAATAGTAGCACTTGATGATCTAAGGGTATCCCCAATAGTAGGACTTGAGGACCTAAGGGTATCCCCCAATAGTACGACTTTAGGATCTAAATGTGGCCCCAATTGTAGTACCGTTACCCCGTTCCCGGGTAACTGGTAACGGACCGTTACCGTTCTCGGGTAACTGGTAACGGAACCGTTACCAGTTACCCGGGAACGGTAACGGTAACTGCCAACCCCTACTGCTGAACACATAGAACAATATACCCTTCAGAACGAGAGAATAAACCCTTCTCCTAAAATCCAACTGTACTACACCCATTTCTGACATTCAAAAAACCTTTTTATTTTCACATACCCTTGGTTTCATAGACCCTAGAAGGCTTTATGAAAATTTATACTCAGTGCAAGGGTTTATGATTCTACGCTTTTTTTAAAATTGTACTTTTTTCACAGTGCTGTCTGAAGTATTCGAACGATAAACTATTCAGGGTAAAATAATAAACTCTTTTGCTGAAACTGTAGAATAATAAACCCGTCTCCGTAAATCCTAGTATAATGAACCCTTCGATAGCAGTTATAAATCCTTTTCATTTTCATATACCCTTGCTTTCATAAACCCTTCAAAGGTTTATGAAAATTTGTAGTTAGCGCAAAGATTTATTATTATACTGTTTTCTTTACAGTGCAGAATAACATACCCTTATCCGTTGAATGATAAACCCTTTTTATGAAAGGGTAGAACAATATACCTTAATGCATAAAATCATAAACCCTATTTGTGAAAGGGTAGAATAAAATACCCTTATGTGCAAAATCATAAACCCTTTTCATGAAAGAGTTGAATAAAATACCCTTATCCGTAGAACCATAAACCATTTTTATAAAAGAGTAGAATAATATACCCTTAGGCGTAGAATCATAAACCCTTTCTATGAAAGGTAGAATAATATACCCTTACCCGTAGAATCATAAACTCTTTTTATGAAAGGGCAGAATGATATACCCTTATGCAGAAAATCATAAACCATTTTCCTGAAAGAGTAGAATAATATACTCTTAGGCGTGGAATCATAATCCCATTTCCTTGAATTTCAAGGTGATAAACCCTTTTTATTTTCATATACCCTTAGTTTCATAAACCCTTGGTTTCATATACCCTTGAAGGGTTTATGACGCTATCATAAACCCTTCAAGGGTTTATGAAAATTTATACTTAGTGCAAAGGTTTATGATTCTGCCCTTTTTTTACAGTGTACTGATACATAATGATATTCCACCTCCAAGAATTGCACGTCCATTGCCAAATGTCTGTGCAATAGACTTACTGGTAGAACAAACAATTAGACTTGTTGCAATCTATGCTCCAGCAAGCAAAACTTGGAAGTGGATGGATTTATCATCATTTATTTCTAATCGTTATATGATTATGGGTGATTTTAACATCGATTTAGAAAAGGATGGGGAAAAAGCAGAACGCTTACTGGAATGGATGGGCTCATGCTGGTTTGGCCCTCCCGCCCCGGATTCTAATACATCTCTTCGCTCGGATTGTACTATTGATTATGCATTAGCTGTCGATGTTAATTTAACAATTCAAACATGTCAATGTAACAACAGCAGTGATCATAAGCCTCTTCTTGGAGTGCTGACTTGTGATACAGCTTGGAAGATTGAAGGATCTCGTACAAGATGACCTGTCTTCTCATTAATACTGTCCTATACATCTAAATTCTGGGAGAAGAAATGGTACTTCGGAATGTATGATTACACTTATGAGCACTTTATATCGTTTTTAGTATTATTAACTGCAAGATGTACAGAATACTTTTCACTCAAACGTGCCAGACCATCGGGACCACCTGAACTTGTGAAACTCTTAGCATAAAGCCGATCCCTATCGTACAAAGCTAAGCGTAAAGGTGATATCGCGCTCCGACAGGAAGCTCGTCGTCTTAGGAATCTCCCCCATTTCGAATCAAAGCGTTATCAATAGTCAAAACTTACTCAACAGTTAAAGGAAAGAAACGTTCCTGGTGAAAGTTCAACAGTATTCTGGATTAAAACAAAAAGACATTTTTGGACTGTTTCGTCATCATTAAAATGGTTCTTATTGTCGAATGGTGAAATAATTAAGGATCCGCAAGCAATGATGAAGACAGCAGCGAATCATTACGAACCACTTTTTGAAGCACTAGTGGTCAGACGTCCACACCCTTATGCTGATGCTCCTATTGCTCATGACTTAAATATGTCTGAACCGATTCCACCAGTCACTTATCCAGAAACACTAAGCGTACTATGTTCCAGAAAGAAGAAACAATCGCTAGATATACATGAACTATCACCATTTATATTGGATAAAATACCTAAAAACTACTGGCACCTATTTATAAAGCTGTACAATGATTCTTTTTCCAATGGCTACATACTGAAGAAATTTAAAGAAGTCAGAATGGTACTACTGGCCAAGAAAAATGCGATTTGTTCTTCGGATCAAACAAGACCTATTTTATTGCTTGACTCTATTTAAAAAATACAAGAATGTCTATTCCTTAATCGTTTTCTACAAGCATTAAAGGATCGTGGCATTCTTCCGGATAATCAATCTGGATTTCGTGCTCAGCACAGATGTCAAACACGTGTGTTGCTGCTCATTGAACAAATTTCATCCTACATGTCACATAGTTCTCCGATTGCGACGGTTTTCGTGGATTTCAAATCTCCATTTGATCAACTTTGGTTTGAAGATTGTCTGGGAAAGCTGATAAGAATGGGAATTCCAAGTCCTTATGTTCAATGCACTGTAAAGTAGAAAATGAGTTATAGAGTTTAATCGAGGATATTCTAGGAATGCCTATATGAATTCACCGATGAATTTCTAAATTCTTGAAAATAAGATATTCCAAACATCAAAAATATCGATTTTGATTTTCCAATTAGAAAATCAAGAGCGAATTCATATAGGCATTCCTAGAATTTCGAATTCGATATACCAATTGGAATATATTCTAAAAACTAGAAAATCAAATTTGATTTTCCTTTCATCATATAGTTTATTTTATTTTGCTTCATTTCATATTTATCTATCTAATTATCCACTTATATAATTATCTATCTATCTATTTGTCTATCTATCCCACTATCTATCTATCTAACTAACTATCTATCCCACTA